GGGGGGGGGGGATGTCTTGCGATACACTGCCTCCCCCACCGGACACCGTCAGGACAACAGAGGGAGGTGTGACAAGGTATGGGCAGAAACAGCGAGCAGGCAGTATAACTGTGCCTCGAGTTCCGAGTTCAACGAGGTACATACTTCACAGGGTGTCCCCGTGGCTGACGCGCTTTAATCCCAGTATTTTTCCTGCGGTCTCCGCGCGCGCGGAAACGCAGCCGTCCCATATTCTGCTCGTGGTGCTTTACCGTCCTCAAAACCGTTTGCGCGGTTAGCAAACACAACCCTCCCGCAGAAAGCGTTCCGTCGTGCAGAAGGACGCAGGAGTGCAGGAGCTGCCCGCAACAGGTCAGGCGCAAGCTCCAGCGCGACCCACCTACCTGCCGCAATGTGGTCGGGGCGTAGGCTGCCCCGGCTGTCGTCCAAGTTGACCCGGAGGGGGCCCGAGGTGGCTCAGTGAGGCCAGCCGGAGGCCAGCGCCACCCACCAATATGAAGCCCAATTTGTTTCCGGGGGCGCCGGTTGTGGGTTTGCGGTTGCGCCGCCAGGATTGCGCCTGTCAACGCGCCGACACTCACCTGGCAACAGAAAAGCACAAAGCGAAAGGGTTAGGCGAGGCCTCTTTCTTTATTACGGAGTGCAGCGGGTCCAGCAGCGTCCTTCCGCCAGCTCCCACCCCCCTTCCTGCGGGAAGTTTCGTTTCTGTTCTGGATTACTTTGTTGGCATCTCCTCAAGATAGTGCATCTAAAATAAGCTGTGCTAGAAGTGCTAAGATACTTCGATTATTCCGTATTATCGACACTCTTGTGTTACAAGAGAATGAATTGACATCCATGGTAAGGGGCCGTTAAGAAAGTTAGTACGTCCGTCATTCGACCTTACTGAAGTGCAAAATTCAGCCTGTACAAGCTGCCATGGTGCCTGATAGGTAGGCAACATGTTGCCCGGAAGTGCATGCGTACACTGCGGGTTGGCCTACCCTACGTTTTGCAGGCGCCTAACTCCCGCAATGACTCTGAGAAAAACAAAAATTATGGGCGATCCCTTCCTTTAAAGTCACTCATCCATATCAGCTGTCTGTAGTGTATGAATGGGTGTGAATTTCACAAATAAGTCATTGTGTGACATCAGCAACAGTCTGAATTACTTCACTCGTTTGCAGATGCGGCTTTCGCACACCTGACTCCGAAGCCTACACTTAGGATTTCCAGCGGGCTGGTTGCAAAGCTCTTGCTGCCGAGCATTCATATTTTTTCTATTTTAAAAACAACGGCAAGGCAAAAGTAAGTCATTTCAATGCATTTCGCTCGACAGCCCAGCGTGGCGGCGGTGGCGCGCTGCAGTAAAACAAACGGCGCACCTCTGCAGCTAATCTCATAAATTCTCTCTTTTTTTTCGTCTCGTTTCCTTGACAAGAAGGGACGAGTGGGGAGGGGAATAAGCTCCACAGCTGACATCAGCTGAAAGCAAAATTCTACGACCTGGGATGGAGAGGCGCATCTCGTTCATTTAGAAAGGGGATGGAGGGGTCGGGAGGAGTGCGGGTGAGAAAAGGGCAAGAGATAGAAGGATGAGGGAGGAGGGAGAAGGGGAATTTGAGAGAGGTGGAGAGACAGACACCTCGAGACCGACGTTTCTGGACGCGACCGAAGGAGCAGGCGAGCAGGCCAGACTCGCCAGGCAGGCCAGCCTCGACCACGACGCACGCAGCAAGAAAAACATGGGGCTCTTTGCGTCGCTTTGTGCGGGCAGTTCTCGTCAGTGTGTGGGGAGGGGCGGACGGGGCA